AGTGAACAGAAAGAGATTTGGTTTTAGTTAATGTGATAAAGATCACTATTAACTAATATGTTTTTAATTAACAAGCTCACAACTGAAAACACAACGTGGAGCTTTTTTCTGTTATTATTGTGCATACTGCGCTACGCAAGAACCAAAATCTATCTATATTAACATCATGTTAATATTAAAAGTTAAGTTTAATTTGGATTGCACCTTCTTTATCATAAAGAGTAAAAAAATCATATCACTTAAGTCAAAACAACAGTCAATTTCATTAAATTCGAAACATATAAATAGGATGGCCGTCCTCATATTTTTTTTGTAACACCAACATAGAATTTTTTTTTTTTTATTTTTAATTTGATAATAATAATTAGATTTGTTACATTACGCAAATAATTACTTACATATACGGAATTTTAATAAAAAAAGTCCAATTCATTTGAGAATTAAAATGTGTTTTTATTGCTTCGCTAACTAACTAACTAAAAAAATTTGAATTAATTGCTTCGCTTAAAAAATTTGAATTAACAACCTGAACCAATCAATTGCTTACTAAATTAAAGTTTTAACTTTATTATGCCAACAAAAAAATTAAACACAATTTCATGTGAACATTATCTAACTCGAATATGACTTATTACACTCAAAATAACATATTTTGCTGCGATACAACTAAATGAATTAACTATAAACATATTGTAATAAAAAACATAGAAGTTACATTTATGTCTATTGCTTCTTATTTAGTTAGTGTTAACACTATAATTCATTTCAACCAATCAGATTTCGATTTTCTCATAAATAAAGAAATCTGATTGATTCTTAAAAACCTTAAATTTAAATTTTCTATACCATTTAAATATAAATTAAAATAATATGAGAAAAACACTATAAATTACCTTTAAATAATTACCTTTAACGTAAAGAAAGTAATTTAACTTTGACAATTTTTAATTAGCATTTAAATTAATCAACAATTGAATTGATTGTTGTTATACACTAAAATACACTAAATAACATTCATTTATTCCATTCTTTTTGCACCTTCCTTTAACTTAAACAATACTCTCACTCATGTATAATATAAAATACATACCAAAAAAAAATTATCATTTCCACACGCATAAACTTTTTTTTTAATATTTGTTTCTATTTATATATTAAAAAAAAAAATGACCTCAGTATTTTGTGCCATTTCACTCATAAAAAATGTCTCAGGAGGTAATAACTCTTGCACTGGCACTGCAACTTATAGAGTCGGGGAAGATGAATTTCAAGATTTCACTTTCAAAGCCTTCTACACAAACGACAACAACAACAATATGATTGCAGAAATCTTCAAATCAAGTATTTCTTTGGTTGTTGGACGTCTCTCACTTGAAGGTGAAGAATTATATGTAAGTGTGAAATGTAGCTTTTTGATTAAAAAACTGACATTGTATCTAAACTATATAAAATATTTTCAAAGACCACAATGCTCCAGTACGTCCCATTAAACATTCTAACTATTGATGATCAAGCATCCAAGTATGACCTTCCTATTTCATCAGCATTCATGATTTTCACTGCTCCAATTCATGATATACCTATTGCAGAAGGGGGGGACAAGGCCATATTCAGACTAAAAAAAGATAATTATAACACAATCACATCCAACCATATTCCAACATCAGTTATATGTAAATATAACCCTGCTGGCCGATTCTCAAGTGTTAAAGATGCAGCAACACGACGTCCAATTTTTTCAGTTGGTGGTGAACTTATTCCTCTAAAAAAATCAATCTGCATACTCCCTGATGTCATTGAATGGAATTATCCTCTCCCTGATAACCAACAAGCACAACAAATGAATGAAAGGGGGAATCAACTCTCATCACCAAGTAAAAGACAAAGAAGAGAAGAGTTAGAAAGGACAGCACAAAAATTTGAAACAAGACAAACAAGCTATAGAAGTCCTATCACCACTAGTGGGCAAAGTCAAAGAACAAACCAACAAAACAGTCCTTCAAGACATGACATATTAAGCTCAGCTATGAGAAGCGTGCAAAGTAAACTTTTGACCTTAGTGCTTAAAATTTGAAAAAAAAAGATAATAATTGACTTTTGTTTATCTTATAGGTAATAGCACAACTGAAAATAACACAACAACTGATGATAACACTGATAATACAATCATTAACAATAATGAACATGAAAGTGTTGAAGAAAACGATAGTGATGCAACTACCTAACTTGAATCATTGAGAAAAATAATAATAATAATTATACTTTATTTAGATAACTAAACAATTTATATATAAATAATTTTTTCTTTTTATTTTTTTATTTTTTTATTTTTTCTATTTATAATAACAAAAATTCAAAAAAAATTAACATTTTTTTTTCTTCTAAATATTCTTTTTCTACTACTACATCAACATTGCAAATACTTTTCTTTTTACATTTTCTTTTCTTTTCTTTATAATTTCCTTTTTTTTATGAATTATATTAAATACATATATCTATATCTTACAATTGATTTATTGTTAAAATATTTTTAAATAATTTTTGTATATACACTTTTTTTTTTTGAATAAATTTAAAAATACCTGTATGGAAAACAATAAAGTATCAATAGCTTGAAACGTCTAACGTTACGATATGCACGAATGTCTAACGTTACGATACACATGAAATATTTAACGTTACAATATGCTTGAAACATCTAACGTTACAATATGCATGAAATGTCTAACGTTACAATATGCTTAAAATATTTAACGTTACGATATGCTTGAAATGTCTAACGTTACAATATGCTTGAAATGTCTAACGTTACGATATGCTTGAAATGTCTAACGTTACGATATGCTTGAAATGTTTAACGTTACGATATGCCAGAAATGCCTAACGTTACGATATGCCAGAAACGCGTAACGTTACGGTATGCTAGAAACGCGTAACGTTACAATACTCTTGAAACATTTAACGTTACAATGCACCTAAAATGACTAACTTTACAATATACCTGAAACGTCTAACGTTACAACATACTTGAAATGTTACAATATACTTAAAATGACTAACATTACAATATGCCTAACGTTACAATATTCTTGAAATCTACATATGAGAAACAAAGACTCCAACTTATATATATACTTAAACTATTCTTTAATAACTTGATCAAATCTGAACTTCGCATTTTTCAAGAAAATATTTTTATCCTGAAAATACCAAAAACATGCCTAAAAAACCCACACATCCTGTTCAACATTATGACCCCTCTTCATACTGCAATGTCATTTCTTTCGATTCAGATAATAGAGGTGCAAGCTATGGTGTTTTCAATGTATATACTCATCGAAATGAAATAAACCAAAATATAACTGAAAATCACAACAGCTCTTCAGAAATACTCCAACCAAATCTTATCAATCCCATTACCACACCTGTTACACCTTCTGTGTTTCCACCATGGAGGCCATCATCCAAGCTACTTCACCTTTTTCATGAATTCCAAACCAAGATACTAAATGATTACCCTCATATCCCTTGCTGTTATTGCTCTATTCTTATGTTCCTTTCTACAGCCCAATGGGTGAATCATGACCCCAATGAAAAATATACTTTGACAGTAGCATTTCCTCCTGATGACCCCATTCAAGAGAATACTCCTCTATACCTTCGCTGCACCAACCAAGGACAAATTAAAGTTGCAATTTGTGCAAGTTGCAAAAGCACAAAAACTAGGCGATTTCCTCCAGTGCTATCACCAATACCCCCTGAGATCAGTAGAGTACCCATGTTGCATCGAAAATTTCTCTCACCAGTCTATATGAATTGTTCATTAGGGCGAACCCAAGGTTCTAATCACTACACAAATTACAGGTTCTTAAAAGGAAACATTTCCTTGAGCAAAAACTTACATGCACTTGAATTATACTCAGGATCAACTGGAGCATTCTTGAATTCACATGAGCCACCTAATTGGTATCATGATACACTGCCTAATGCAAGCAATTGGTTAAAAGAGAATAATCCAATATTCAAACAGTATCAGATCAACCATGATCTCAATGACCAAACTCTATCCAATCTAACGCCAACACCTTTACCACTAGCTGTAGCCAGGAGATCTCCAAATAATTTATCTTTTATCACTTCAACAAACCACCCAACAAACCCTGACCTGGTAGTCCCAAATGATGAGTTTTCACCCCAAATTCATGATGAAGATTATAGGTATCATAGGTTGATGGCTGGATTCATGAAGTTAAATGACACCATGTTACCAATATCATATAAGGATCCAGATCTTGAAGCATTGATATTTCCTGATCTATTTCCAACAGGGAAAGGTCATTATGAAGATGTAAAGACATTATTAAACTTCCAAGGTAATAGTACAGAGAGCTATGGAAAATATATCAAACTTAGAATGCTCTGTCCTGATCCAAGATTCAGACTACATTGGTACTGGCCCCACTGGTCCTACCTAAATCTTGAAAAAAGGCGTAACTTTCAGTATAATTGCAGAGTGATAAATCAAAAAAACATATCACGTCAATATCACCCATCAAAAGCTGACCTCATTGGAAAAAGCATATATAACAACATGCCAATGATTGATGAATCAAAAACAACTGCACTATCTTCAAACCTAAGAACTGCAGCACCATTTTTCAAAAAAAAAGAAATGCAAGTAAATACCATGCTACAATCATTAGGCTTACCTCAAATTTTCTACACATTGACAATGGCTGAAGATAAATGGGATCACCTAAAGCAAATATTATTAGCAACAGACAACAAAGATCCCTTACCAACAAACCGCCCACTACATGTGTACCTATTTTACCACAACAAATTAAACAACATGCGTAAAAAGTTATGGAAAAATGAAAAATTAATCCAATGGGGAAAATTTGAGAATTACTTTGAACGAGATGAATTTCAGAATAGAGGATCAATCCACACACATGGTTTTCTTTATTCAGCAGTCAAAATCCCTGACCTGATAAATGCAAATACAATACGTGCTGATATACCAGATCCAAACCTTGAGCCTGAACTACATCAACTAGTCTTATCATATCAGATTCACAGATGCAGGCTGGACCTGTGTGGTGGCCCTGGTCCCAATGATGAACCATGTAAAAAAGGGTTTCCCCAACCCTTATCCATGTCAACACACATGAATAGCCATTTACTCAGGTATACTTATAAGCGAACCAAAGAAGAAGACCGTTGGGTAGTTCCTTACCATCCAGAAACTTTGTTTATATGGCAAGGACACATTAACTTTCAATATGTAACAACAAGAGGATTTGCAAAATATGTAACAAAATATGTCACCAAACCTGAACCCACTGAGATATTTGACATCAATGAACAAGATGATTACCGGAAACACATCCAAGCAAGAAGATTGGGAAGCATAGAACTAATAATATTACTATTACAATATCAGATAACAAGGTGTTCCGTTAATGTTCAATACTTCCCATCTGCCCCTTCAGATATGCGTATGAGAGCTGTCAAACCAATCCAATTGCAGCTGAATAATGACCTTGAAGGAGATGAGAAACCCTATTGGGATGATGCAATTGATAAATATTTCCAACGTCCTAATAATGATACTTTCAAAGATGTAACTTACCCACAGTATTTTCGAAATTACAATCTCAAATCAAAACCACCTGCCCCAAACACAAAATTGTTTTGGACAACTGACCAAGAAAATCGCTTTGTGACTCAGAGAAAAAAACCTTTACTATTGAGATTTGCTCTATACAAGGTTGAGGATGGTGAGCCATTCTTCTTCCAGCACTTGATCATGAAAATTCCATGTTACTCAGAAGAAGAACTCCTTAGTGGATATTCCTCATACCGGGAAAGATTTCGCACCCTATTTCCATACCAGTATGAATGTGCAATTGCAAAAATTACAAACACATCAGTGTCCCAAAAGATTCAAACCTCAACAATTTACCAAAAAATAATCAAAGAAATTTTACTTGACCTCGAAAATCAAAACCTTCAAGAGTTGATCTTTCAACAGCTCATGCTGTTAGAACAGCAGATTCCACTAAATAACTCCCTCTCCACATTGACACTAGACAAAGAGCAGTATGAAATTTACAACATGTTGCACAATGCTTGGGGTTTTGAAAGTAAGGGAAGGTACCCATATTTTTTCATGACAGGATCTGCTGGTACAGGTAAATCATTCATGACACGCCAAATTATCCATTCTCTCAAGTCCAAAAAAACAAACTATCTCTTGATTGCCCCAACTGGTGTAGCTGCACAAAACATTGGAGGCACAACTATCCACTCTGCATTAAAAATCAGGCAAACAAGATCACATTATGAAACTCTATCCACATGTGATGATAATTTTAAAAACTCCCTGCTAAAAGTTGAGGCAATCATCATTGAGGAAATCTCCATGGTGTCAAATGACCTTTTCTCCTTCATTAGCAACATGCTTGGTTCACTTCATAAAAATTCAAAAATATTTGGTGGTGTCCCTACACTTTTGGTTGGAGACCTAGCACAGCTGCCACCAATCAATGGTCAACCAGTATTCAATTCGCCAGCTTGGGCAAGATTTTTCCCATTATTCCTAACTAATCCTAAAAGACAAGAAAATGATCCTGATTTCTACAATATGCTCCAGGAGTTACGATTTGGCCACCTGTCTGAAAAGTCAAAAAGACTCATAATGGCTAAAGTTAACAGCTCAAAACCAGCACAAGATTTGATCAGTTCAACACATGTGGTAGGTTTGCGCAAAACAGCAGATGAAATTAATGAACAAATTTGTAAAAAATTACCTTTTGGTGAAGAGAGTTTTGGCCCATTTGTCTCAGCTGCAGCAGACACAATCAACCACAACACCCTCAATCAAAATCAAAGTGAAGACTTTCACTTCAACCACTATACAAACCTTCCCAAGCATGTCAATCTGCAAGAAGGTGCAAAAGTGATGTTCCTCAATAACAAATTGTTTGATCATGGAATTTGCAATGGAACAATCGGCATAATAACCAAAATGACTGATCCTCAAAGTGTTGAAGTGACTTTCCCAACAACCCATGATATCACAAAGGTGACTGTTCAAAAAGAAACCACTTACTTTGATATCAATGGAAGCCCTGCATCAAGACAACAATTTCCTCTGCAAAATGCCTTCGCTCTTACTGTGCACAAAACCCAGGGATTAACATTACCTCATGCAACTGTC